AAGAAAGAAAGTCACCAGATGGCTCAGACTGTTTTCAGATCAATGAAAATAACAGTCTCTGTCCATCTGATAGATTTGAGGTCATCAGGGTCAGATCAGGCCAGATCAGGTTCACTACACAGGTCCCAAACTCTTTTTAGCACTTTGCCCAGGCTGAGCCATCTGACAGGTGTGTGGTAGCCGATGTCACTATGCTCAGACTCATGGTCCTCCAAAAGTGTGACAAACTGTCTGTGATTCAATGCCCGTGCCCTGATGAAGTTTACTATGTTAGTAACAACATTAATAACATGGTTAATTTTTAGCACTGACTTGCACAACACATGTTGGTGTATAATACAATGCAAAAATACCAATTCCTGATCTGAGTTCATTTCAGCCACTTTATCTTGCATACGTTTTAAAAGTCCCACATTTTTCCCTGTAAGATTTGGACAACCGTCCGTTGTGACACCTGCCAGTCTGTCCCATTTCAGTCCCAGTGTGTCCATGCACGCATTCACCTCCATGAAGAGATCGCTCCCTGTAGTCGTCCCTTTCATCGACCGCATTGCTGCCAGCTCCTCCGTAATCTTGAAGTCCGGCGTGATCTCGCGGACAAATACGAGTAACTGGGCTGTGTCACGGACATCACAGCTTTCGTCCAAAGCAAAGGAGAAAAAGTCAAAACTTGCCACTTCACGTTGCAGCTGAAGCTCCAGATTCCACGATATGTCCTCCACCCTTCTCGTCACGGTTCGCCTGGAGAGCGGGACTTTCTCAAATGCTTCTTTTTTTTCAGGGCATATTAATGCTGCGGAGTCCACCAAGCACTCTTTGATAAACTCCCCCTCCGAGAATGGCTTACTGTTTTTAGCGATTTTGTGAGCTATCACAAAGCTGGTCTTGGTTGCTGCATCCCTGGATGTGTGAAGCTTGGTAAAAAAGCCTTGCTGCTTTTGCAGTTTAGCTATCAAAGCTTCCGATGTCCGCGCCCTTTCAGCGTCAGTCACGTTCTTGTATTTCTCCCCGTGTTTCGTCTCGTAATGCCGACTCAAATTGTAGTCCTTAAACACGGCGATCTGCTCCCTGCAAACTAAACACACGGCTTTACCCCTGACTTCAGTAAATAAATACTTAGCAGTCCAATTTTTGTTGAAAACCCTGCTTTCGGCATCTACCTTTCTTTTTTTAGCATAAGCAGACATTTCTGAGGGCTAAAGTCATCTTGTGACTTGCTAGTGACAACGATCATATCACGCGCATGTCTCAATAAACGTTTTGCGTCATCATGTACGTAAATAAAAAACAACTTCATAATAAAAGCAATGCAGCTTCAGTCCATGCATCAGGTAAAATAAGAAAATATGTTTATTTTGTAATTTCCAATTAACGTTGCACGGGCCGGTCAGAGTCAAAGGGCCGTATGCGGCCCGGGGGCCGTACAATGCCCAGGTTTGGTCTAGGTGGACCCCCAGGTACTTGTAGCAGTCCATAGTGTCCACCTTGGTACCCTTGATGTTGATAGGGTTGGGTGTGCTGGTCTTCTTCCTGTAGTCCACCTGCACCTCTTCAGTTTGTTTGTTTTTTTTACGTTGAGTTGCAGGTGGTTCTGTCCACCACACCTCTGTATTCAGCTTTCTGGTCACCAGTGATGCAGCCCACAAGATGTCACTGTCCATTTTTATTTAGTTCAGAGCTCTTTTTGTTTTCATTATTTTTAATTTCTGTTTAGCTTTAAAAACCAGTTTAGTCTTATCAAATAATTAGTTGACAAATAGGATAAAGAGAAATAGAGTACATTTATTTAATAAATTTCCCTGCACTTATGCCTGTTTTTATAGGCTTTCATACAAAAAGGTTTTTTTTGTGTGGTTAAAGGAATTTAATTTAATCCAACATTTTTCAGTCAGGTCATCTGGACGCTTTCTTTTTTTTGGTGCTGAAATGTTTCACCTTCCATCCGGAAGGCTTCATCAGTCAAGGAAACGCACAACAAAAAACTGATTATTCGCCCAACAGTTTACTCCAAAGTGGAACAAACCAGTTAGGTTGGTGCTAAGATGGTCTGTTTGGCACACCCCCTCCTCCGGTGCCGGCCCTCTCCCTCGTTGAATTTAATTTAATGTGTATACTTCCAGTCTGTAATATCAGTCAACAGTTTTATTGTTTTCTCGTGCATGCTCATTTATGTTTGTTTTATTTCTGGTTGGTTGAAGGCATCATATCTCCAGTATTATTTTATTATAGTTCTTGTTGAAAAAAAAAAAAAACTGGTATTGAAACTTTTCTTAAAAGGTCAAATTGATTTGAAATATTAATGTAATTTTGTTTAAAAAAAAAAACCCACAGAAACCCTCACCTCAAGCCTATCTGTTATTCTAACTTCTGATTTTACTGATCACTAAGAAAGGCAGATTAATAATTGTCCTATTATAATTTGGTGTTTTGAAATCAGAACTTTTGAGCATTCTCAGTTTTTCTTTGTGTATTTAAACAGTTAAACTGCTGAAAACCAACAAAACTGACACAACACATCAGAGATTGGTGATTGCTAATGATTTTTGCCACTTCTTGCTAAAATACTTGACAAACGATCACAATGTTTGATTTAATATACTCTGACATATTTAAGTGAAAATCATATAATCGGATTACTCAAAATTAAAGTAGAAAAATGATCTCCTGTACTTTTTGTTCAGTCTTGCACTGAGAATGTGATCGCTTTAAGATACAGGTCAGTTTAGGGTTCAGTCTTCTTTGTTGTCGACTTGCTGTAAATCAAGTTTATACTCAATTATAGTGAAGTTGACAATTTTATAAAAAAACTCAGGTATAAGAAACTGTCTTATCTTCTTGTAACCCATGTGCTCGTACAGTTTCTGAGCATCAATCTGCACCACAGAGGTCTGGAGGATGACAGCAGCATAACCCCTGTCACGAGTAAAATGTGCCACTGTCCGACACAAAGCCTTAGCGATGCCCCTCCCACGATGACTGTGGCGCACCGACATGCGTTTCAGTTCCAGGCACTCAGGTGCATTTTCACTGTGAAGACAAGCCACTGTCCCGACCACAAGACCATCACTCTCAGCTACCCAAAAACACGAGTCCTTCTTTGTCAGGTAAGTCTCACTGATGTTGCTGAGGTCGTTCTTCAAGGATTCTTCTATGTATTTGGTAAACAGAAAGACGGCTATGTGCCGGACTCCGGCCAGGAGGAGGGTGACTGCCAGGATGGGCAGCAGGAGAGACATGGAACTGGTCAGGAGAGCACAGAACGTGCACATGAGCACCATCTGGGTCAGCGGCTGCTTCAGGATGTGCATGAAGGTTGATGGTATGTGTTCATTCATCCCCATGGTGAAGATCTCTTTCACGCTCTCAGCATCATCATCCTGGTACTTTCTGATCTGAATGTTGGCCATGGTTCAGCTTTATAACAAAGAAAATAAAAATGTAAAAAGTGAAATACAGCTGATGTTTTCTTTTTCTTTATCTTTGGCATAACAAAGCTACGAGCTTGTCTTATATTTCATTAATGTACTTACAATGAAATCACCAGTTTATAACAATTCCAAAGATTGATCTGATAAAATACAAAATAAAAGGACTGCTTGTGTAAAATTATGAATGCCTTTGTCAAATAAAGTCACAATTGTCTAAAAATTTCCAAGTTTTTAAATATTAGTATCGGTAGTATACAGCGGTGCTTGGAAGTTTGTGAACTCTTTCTAATTTTCTATATTTCTGCATAAATTTGACCTAAAACATCATCAGATTTTCACACAAGTCCTAAAAGTAGATAAAGAGAACCCAGTTCAACAAACGAGACAAAATATTATACTTGATCATTTATTTATTGAGGAAAATGATCCAATATTAAATATTTGTGAGTGATAAGAGTATGTGAACCTATAATTTCAGTATCTGGTCCAGATGCAGCAGAACAGGGCAGGCCCAAACCATGATATTACAGCCCCCATGTTTCACAGATGGGATAAGGTTCTTATGCAGGAATGCAGTTTTTCTTTCTCCAAACAGAACTCTTTTCATTTCAACCAAAAAGTTCTGTTTTGGTCTCATCAGTCCACAAAACATTCTTCAACAGTCTTCTGGATTGTCCTCATGGTCTTTATCAAACTGCAGACGAGATGTTCTTTTTGGAGAGCAGTGTCTTTCTCCTTCAACCTGCCATGACATCATCGTTGTTCAGAGTTCTCCATGATGGACTCATGAACATCAAAATCAGTCAATGTGAGCAAGGCCTTCAGGTGTTAGAAGTTACTCTGGGGTCTTTTGTGACCTCGCTGACCACACCATGCTCCTGGAGTGATCTTTGTTGGTCCACCACTCCTGGGGAGGATAACAATGGTCTTAAATTTCCTCCATTTGAACATAATTGTTTTGTTTGTTTTTTTTTCTATCCTTAATATGTGTTTTTTGTCTTTCAGGTACACCTGGACCTATACCTGGACCTACCATTCTGTGTTTGTCTGTCTCTCCTTCCTGTTCCTTTCAACCAGCTGGTCAAAGCAGATGGCCGCTTGTCCTGAGCCTGGTTCTGCTGGAGGTTTCTTCCTTTTAAAAGGGAGTTTTTCTTTCCACTGTTGCCACTGTGCTTGCTCAGGAGGGAGACTGCAACAAAGCCAAGCTTCAACTTGTCTGCTGGATTCCTTAGATAGAGAACTTTACTAATTGGCTTTTATGTGAATGTTTCTGTAAAGTGCCCTGAGACAACGTTGTTGTGAACTGGCGCTATATAAATAAACTGAATTGAATTGAACAATCTGTCTGACTGTGGATTGGTGGAGTCCAAACTCTTTACAGATGTTTTGTAACAATTTTCAGTCTGATGAACATCAACAACTCGTTTTCTGAGCTCCTCAGAAATCTCCTTTGTTCCTCCATGATCCACTTCCACAAACACGTTGTGAAGATCAGACTTTGATAGATCCTGTTCTTTAAATCAAACAGGCCCACTCACACCTGATTATCATCATTCATTGAAAACACCTGACTCTAATTTCACCTTCAGATTAACTGATAATCCTAGAGGTTCACATCCTTTTACCATCACTCATATGTTATTATTGGATCATTTTCCTCAATAAATAAATGACCAGGTATAATATTTTGTCTCGTTTGTTTAACTGGGTTCTCTTTATCTACTTTTAGGACTTGTGTGAAAATCTGATTATATTTTAGGTCAAATTTATGCAGAAATATAGAAAATTAGAAATAGTTCACAAACTTTTAATTTGTTGTGAATGTTCTGTAACCTCTATGTGCTGCTGCCAGTCTTGGCCAGGATTCTGTTGCAAAATAATTTCTTAATCTCAATGGGATTTTCCTGGTGAAATAAAGGTTAAATAAAGTAAATAAAAAATAAAAACTTACAAGCACCACTGTAAATGCAATTTCCACAATAACTAATAATGTGATTCCCAAAGCTGGTGTCAGTCAAGAAGTCTTGAGTTCTTTAGAAAATCTATGGAAAGCCAAATAACTTTAAAAATGACTGTCATTTGCATTTTTAGCCTTAAATATTACAAAGAGATTAAAAATGGTTATTAATGTCTAAAAACTTATATAATGTTTTACAGGGATTTTTTTTTCCGTTCATTGGCTTATGAGCAGTTATTGTATACTTAACAAAGGTTCAAGTCATGATTCCCCAGAACTTTTATTTTGTAGGTGGAAATCAGATAAGACTGGAAAGTACTGAACTAAGGAGGTGCCTTTTTTTTTTCAAACAAGCAAAAAATAAAAATAAAAATCTACAACAACAACATGGCTTTAATTAGCTAAAATAAAAACAAAGTTCTAAGTAAAATTTTGTTTTATAAAAAAAAAAGATGTACTAACTGAGTACAAAATAAAAAAAATGTTCCCTGTGATTGATATAAAGTAAAATAATTGTATCTAAAAGTAGTTTCATATAAAGAAATATTATTCCTATTCATAACTTGGGTTTTAAAATGGACAGTGATTTTAAATTAGATTCCCAGATCGGAGCGGTGGTCAAGACCAGTTTTTATCACCTCAGACAGCTGGCTAAGGTAAAGACCATCCTTACAAAACAGCAGCTGGAAACAGTAATCCATGCCTTCGTCACCTCTCGGCTGGATTACTGTAACGCTCTTTACCTTGGAGTCAGCCAGTCCTCCCTCAGACGCCTCCAGTTGGTCCAGAACGCTGCTGCTCGGCTTCTAACTGGAGTTCAAAAGAGGGAGCACATCACCCCCACTCTGGCTTCACTCCACTGGCTGCCTGTTCATTTTAGAGTTCATTTTAAGATTCTTTTATTTGTTTTTAAAAGTTTAAATGGTCTTGCTCCATCCTACCTCTCTGAGCTGCTTCACCCATACTCTCCTGCTCGGTGCCTCAGATCAGCTGATCAGCTGCTCCTGGAGGTGCCGAGGTCTAAGCGGAGGCTCAGAGGGGACAGAGCTTTTTTTGTTGCTGCTCCAAGACTGTGGAACGATCTCCCTCTTCCCATCAGACAAGCCCCTTCACTGTCCAGTTTTAAAACTCTTTTAAAAACACATTTTTACTCCCTGGCTTTTAGCACACACTGAATTTGATCTGCACTGTTTTTATTACTTTTATTGATCTTAATGTTTTAACAACTGTTTTTATGTGTTTAAATG